TGTATTAATAGTAATCAGTACATATTTTCATTTTGCTTAAACTTTTTTTTTCTATAGAGTATTATTTCTTTAATATTAGCATCTGGTCCACAGTAATATAGTATTAATTTCAGTAATATAGTATTAATTTTAATGAGAAGTACAAGAATGGAACTTTTACTTTTGTAATAGTTTTTCCACTTAACATATTGAAAGACAAATAACTACTATAATTATGTAATATATTACATGGGTTTTTCTATTTTCTGCACCTGTTCACAAATCAGAAGGAATACATTAACTGCTTGGAAATGCTTTCAGATTGTTCCTTTATTTATACCCTTCCCACCTGACAAAATTAAATGCTCTCTCCTTGTACTCCCATAGCACTTTTGTCATCACCCCTGATTAAACTCATTGCCATCAAGTTGCTTCCAACTCTCAGTGACCCTATATTGGGTTTCAGAGGCTTTAAATCTTAGGATTTACCATGTACCACCAAGAGAACGTACAGGTCTGTCCTGCAGAGGGTGAAACCAAGTTGCTCCTTGGAGGGAGCCACCATGAGTTGCAAACTCAATGGCACTAACAACTGAGCAGCTGGTAGATTTGAAACACCAGAGATGTGCAGCCGCTTTGGTTAGCAACTGCAGACTACACTGCTGCATTTTCCTTTCATGTGCCTCAACCTCTGACCCAGGTCTCTCCACCTCTGATCCAGTTGCCCAGGAGGCCCTTGCCCCCTAGGAAGAGCTCCTACAGGGCCTATGCTAGGCATTCCATTGCTGAGGAGCTGTAAAAATCACCTGGGTATCTTGGTAAACTGTAGATACTGATTCACCATATTTGAGTGAAAAGAGAGATGGATGGTTTGGTGGCACAATGGTTAAAGTGTTCGGTTGTCAACCTAAAAGTCAGTATAAGAAGCATGTGGCAATAAGATATTTATTCTTCTATACACTTGAGGCAGTTCTCTGCCACTGTGAATCGGAAGGGACTGGAGCAGGAGGTTGAATTGGGATGAACTGACTTGAAACCTTGGTTCCGTCTAATATTTCTGTTGATGAAGCATCCGTTGGATAGTTCCTTTTTTATTACTAAATAAGAATCATGAAAATCCTTCTCAGAAAGTATACTACAAAATGTAGCACTGATCATATATTGGAATTTTCTATCATAAGAACCTTCATGTTGTAGAGTAAAAGATCATAAGAATCTGAACTCCTGTAACTCCAAGACTTAAATGAGGATTTCTTAAAAGTGCAGAAGTTGTAGGTAGAAATACTAAAACTCTTTACTGAGTATCAGCTGAAACTGTGAAAATGGTCTTTACAGACTTGCATAAATTTGACAGTAAAAAGATCTTTTCAGGTGAGCTCTGGTGATCTAGTGGCAAGAAGCTGCACTGCAATCTCAGAGATGCGTGGTTCGAATCCACTATATGCACTGCTGGAGAAGGAGAGACAATCTCCTCCTGTACTAGTCAGGTCTGATTTGACAGTACACACACACACACACACACACACACACACACACACACAATAATAAAAATAAAAAAAGATATTTTCAAACATGGCATTCTAAAGTCTTACAATTATTTTTAAGTTTAGGCTGTAAATGCTTTAAAAAAATTTCTTGGGGAAAAAATATGAGGCAATTCAAAGTTTAAAATTTGCAGATAAATTGGTCTGGACTGACTACAGAAGCCAGATCTGAGGGAGTTCTGGTGGCCTAGTGGCAAGAAGCTGTACTGCAATCACAGATGAGCGTGGTTCAAATCCTCCAGATGCTCTGCTGGAGAAGGAGGGACAATCTTCTGTACCAGTCAGATCCAACTTTACGGTACACACACACACACACACACACACACACACACAGAGAAAAATTTTAATAAAAAATTTTTTTTAAAAAGAAGTCAGATCTGCCTGGTAACTCTCATGGCCCATACCTCCATAAGTCATTTTTTGGAGTGCTGTTCATATATGCTAGTGAAATGACACTCTTAGAAAGAAATTAGAGAATTTCTAAGACTCCACTAAATAGTAGACTAATTAAAAGTGTTACCAAGGTGGTGCTGTCAAATAGATTACCTTGAGAGCAAATTATGCAGACAGCTTTTCTGAGGAACTCAATTTGTGCCACAGGCTTATGATTCTTTGAGGTGGAGGAGGTGGCAAGGAACATAATTTATGTTTGAGAGTTCTTTTGTTTTCTGATACCTTTATTTAAATGTTACCAGGTGCTATTTTTATATCTTACAAAAGTGCTTTGAGAAAATGTTAGGTGAACAGTACTACATAAAATAGAGAAGAATTTTCATATTCACTGGGTTATAAGAAGCTAAAGGAATAATCTTTGACTCTTAACAAGGGGAATATGCAAAAAAACTTGACAAGCAATTATTGTAAAATCTGAAATCAAAGAGAAGCTGAATCCTAGCTAGTTAATAGTTGCTTACTAAAAAGTATCATTTATATCACAGCAAATTCAAATGAATTTAATACTATGTCCTTAATTGCCTTTCATATTATTTTAAAATTGTCAAGTGGATGCAAATTGAATACATCTATTTCTATCTTGCATAAAGCAGAATTATTTAAAAGACTATTATGATATTAATAATATTTCATGAGGGACTTCTAAGGCATCATTTGACTTTTGCTTATTTCTACAATAGCAAAATAAAATGGATCACCTTAGAAATCACTATAATAAAAAGATTTGGCTAGTTAGCAGTTAAAATCAGACTGAGATGAATTAGTTTCTGGATTACTTTTTCAAACTGATATCCTACTTATCTAATTCACTAAATAGTCTCAACAGGAAAGATTGAAGAGGAAACTACTTAAGAATGAATGTAAACTGAATATACACCTTATCATAAAAAGTCAATCATAATACAATCTAATAAAAAATATATCAAACCACAATGAAAAAGTAGAAACCTAGAACTAGCAAGATAAAATTATATTTTCTTAACAACAAAAACAATAATTATACATATTTACCTTGTTTCTGTTTTTAAAAAATCTCAAATAAATATGTTTAAACTTTCCAAAATATTTCCAGAAACTGGTAAATGCTGAAATTTTTTTTCTTATTAATGAAAGATTATTAAAAACTTACAATGCAAGTATGGTATGCTGGCTCGAACTGTCCTTTCAGTAAATGAAAACAGGATTCTTTAAAACATTGTCAAATACACCAACCTTAATCAGGTTTTAAAAAATGTGTACTTTTAGATGATACGATATTTGCTGGTAGTTATTCAAGTCCATTAGCACCGGATATAGTGGATTATTTTTAAAGTATTAGACACTGTAGATCCTTTTAGAAAGACTTGGCAGTCTATTAAAATATTTAAAAGTTGTACAGTTAAATAAATTGATTTTTTGGACATGTGATTTGAAAGACTAGTTTCACCTTGCTAAATTGAAGGACTTTTTCTCCCCTCTACTCAAGATTATAAGCATGGAAAGGGGAAAATTGGAGAAAAAGCAATACCTATTTTGAGGTAAGACTTGCATTCCAACCAAGATTCTTACTAATAGTATCCATCAATTGGTTCAAATTCAAAGTCAGGTTAGTTTCTTCAGCCAGGGGTCTAAACACATACTTAGGGACAGAAACAAAGAAGATTCTCCAGGATAAATTAGCACGTACTTTCAATAGGCAGTCAATCTATAAGTAAGGTAAGAACTCAGATTATTGAAAATCATCTAATGCACTTTCATTCGTTAACACCAAGTCTTTATCATAGCTATTTTATAACTTGAGTGGAAACTCTGCATTACTTCATCCGCTTTCAAGGTAATAATTTGTCAATCAGCTTAGACAAAGAAGGACAATACATATGCCTTAATTTTTGAGGTAGGGGTGTGTGATAATAGTCATATAGCCATTTCACACAAGGGAAGGTTGAAAACACTTTTTCAAATATGATAATCATTGATGGGATCAGATGTTACCCTTTAAAATATCTGAATAAAAATGCAAATAAGCCCTTTGCAGTTGTTAAATCCTTTCTTTCTCTTTTGTAAAGGATTAGCTGGATTGAAAATACTGATGAGAAAGTTAATTTTCAATGCCCACGTGAAATGCTTTTTACCAGACTCTCTCAACACATAAACACAATGAAAGAAAGCTGACATTTAAAATATAACGTGCTCTAGAAATAACTTTCTATTCTATTTAACCATGTACATGACTTATTCTTGGTCAAAATTCAGCAGTATTTTCACTACATGATTATGATCCCACAGGGCGCCTTACTGCAGGATGACCTTGACTAGGTGAATCCTTTTTTGGGGAGGGGCTGTTGACTATGGTCTTTAAAGAGGTTTTCCTACAGGATAGATCCTGTTTGCAATAATTTGTTAGTTGGGAAAATTTTCCTTCTTGTGGAAAAAAGATTAACTTCCCCATCTTTTTTGTTATTTTGAAGTTGGGAAAATGTAATACATATTTAGAGATAAGACCATTGCCTAGCAGTGTAACAGTTATAAATCACACATTCATAAAAATTGCTCACCTTATTCACCATTTTAAACAATATAAAAGTGCACTGTTAAAAAAAAAAGATTCAAAACTGAACGCTGTGTTAGCCTATATACAGAGCTGACCTATTAAAAGGAAACCAGCCTTTGTGGTATCAGAGGACAAAAGAGCTTATGGCATATATATAGTAAGTGTTCAGTAAATTCAGCTTCCTTCCCAAAAGCACGCCAGCATCCACATGCCATCTTAACAACTTCCTCGGCATCACTTTGCACTACTTGCTGTGCTGATTCCTCCAACAGAAGTGACTGCATTTCAGTGGTGGTGGTGGTTGCTGTTGAGTTGATTCCCTGTGAAGGGCTTTATAAACCTGGTTAATTCTTTAATACCTCTCAGCTGGAATGGTACCTTTTAAATCCCACAGATGATATAAAGCTCTCATTTGCTAATGATTTAAGAAATGCCACAAATGTGTAAAATAATTCCACAGTGAACCTTACTTCTTCTGTGGTCTGGAAATCATGTCACTGTATAAGATTGTTTATTGTATTATCATCAGACACCATCTCATTTACTAGCTGTTCTACTGACAACTGGATAGCATTCTTGACGAGGGAAGAAGCGGTTTCTATTAAGAGTGTTTCATACTGTTCTGAAGTTCTACCCTCAAAATCACTATCATTGGCAAAAATCCCCACTTGCTCATTTTCAATTGAAATTAAAAATTGCTTAGGGACATTTTTCGATTTCTTGACATCAAATTCACTGATTTCAGTGTCTGTAATAATAATTGCAATGGGCTCCATCCTTTTGCTTTCTTCTGATCTTGGCTCCTCCACATCAGTCTCATTTTCGTGACTATCTGGTTCATCAGGACTCACTTCAGTGCCTTCAGGCTTACCCTCTTCAGATACAAGCTCTGTACTTTCATTTGGTTCACTTTCTGGGATTCTGTTACTGTCTTCTTCCACCATCTGTTGATCAGGAATGGCAGGTGGGACTGGAACATCAGAAACTGCTGGAAGCTGCTGGTCTGTTTCTGAAGTTTCAGGTTGACTTGCTAGCTCATTCGGAACACCTTCTTCTTCCTGGCTCGTTTCAATATCTTTTTCAACAATGAGAGTTTCTGTGTGAAGAACTGAATGCCCAGTATCTAATCCAAGTTCTACTGAAATCACTTTCTCTTCAGGAGAAGGGATGCTGTTCCTTACATCTGTTTCACCTACTTCACCTCCATCTTTCTGTGAAACACATTCTCTTAGATCCTGGGTCGACCGGGTCCTTGTTGCCTGGTCATTCGGTTGTATCTGAGTCTTTGTATCCAGACTTTCAGCCTCTGCCTGTACTTTGACGCTGCAGTCTGAGTCTTCTATGATTTTGGAATGACTGCTTCTTTTCTCATTTCTGGAGAATTTCATGCAGGGTATTTTAAGTTTGGATTTTGCCATTTTCTTGGAAAGCCCAGTATCCTCAGTATTTCTTTCCAGTTGCACTTTAGCCTCAAGGGGCTTTTGTTGCTTTGAAGAAGCTGACCTTCTCCTTCTTGTTACAAGACGTTTGAATGAGGCCCAAGCCCCTCCTCTGGGCTGTGGTTGATCAGAATCTCTGGCTTTCTCAGCTGCTTCAGAACCAGGCTCGGGCTTCAGTCTTTTGGTTGTTTTCTTCCTTCTCTTGAAGCAGAGCATGGAAGCTTTCTCCTCTTGCCTCTCGTTCTGAAGACTAACTTCTGCTGATCTCTTCTCATCTTTGGTTTCTACTTGGATTTCAGAAATTGTCGTCTCCATTTTCACACGACACTCTTTCATTCTAGAAAAAAACTATCCTTTCTTCCTTATCAGGCTTTTAGGCCAAAAAATGTAGATAGAAACATCTTCCAGGTGTTTTATTTCCGTTTGTCTTAATCTACACAGTTGTTTTATGTGGTTTCTCTAGTGTCCAAATGAAGGCATTCTGTATTTCTTGTAATTTCTTTCTTTAGTTTCTTCATGAAAAACCTTTACTGGTTAGATTTTTGCTTTAAAGATCAACCTGATGAGAGAAAAGAGATATTTTATTTCACGATTAGCCAATATTTTTGATTGATACTATTTCAGTTGAAGTAATACAATTCTACCAGGTATGCCTCTCTCATAATAAGTTACCTGAAGTGGCCCAAGAACAAAATGTAGTCTTCATTTTGGCCCTAACCAGATTTTCATGTAAATCACTTTTGCTCTATTCTTTTTGTTAAAAACTTCATTTCAAGGGGAGCTCTGGTGGCCTAGTGGCAAGGCGCAATATCCTCCTGTACCAGTCAGATCTGATTTGACGGTACACTCACACAAAAATAATAAAATAAAAAATAAAAAAAACCACAAAAACAAAACTTCATTTCAGAGTACCCTACAAATCTGTTAGTATTTTTGTTATATTGTTTTTATGTACTGTGCATGACTTTGAATTGCAAGTTGAGGGGGAAAATCAAACCAACAATAACAAAAAAGGTAAAATCAACAGCAACGAAAAGCAGAATAAGCAAGCTAATGTTAGGGTGACGAACTTTAAAGCGGCGAAAGACCTTAGATTATCCAATTATACCAGATTATTCAAATTAGTCAGATGATGAACATGAGCTTCAGAGGAGGCAGCTGGCCTGCGAAAAGCCACAGAAGCAAAGGTCACAGACAGAGGCAATCCAGAATTTGACTCTTCAGTGTGCTTTCCGATAGAGGTGACCTTTGCTTTTCAAAGGTTCTCTTTACACTGCTTAAATTTCAGGGAATACATATGTTAACTTATTTTTTGCTAATTAAAGAAAATTCAAAGAGCATTTTTACTTGCTCCGCCCCCCCCCCCAAAAAAAAGTGAAACTAGATTCAGGATTTGTTTTGCAGTAAGCCGCTAAAGAGGCAGCATGCCCCAAAAGACAGAGGTGGCATCACCAAGCTCCTTTCCCAGAAGCCCCATTCACCATCTGAGCATTAAGCCAACACAGCTTTGAAATGCGTCTGTGAACACTGTAAGTGCTATTTTAGGTATGTGTGTTATGTGCGATATTGCTAAGTTATTTTTTTACCTACGGATACTCAAAATTTTTTCCCATAAAAATTAATGGTAAATGCTTCTTTATTTTACATCATACTAGCTTATGAAAAGTTTCTTCCCAATTCTTTTGAATGATCTACTTTATTTCCAGATTATAGAGAAAACTTGTCTACCACAAGGTTTTTTACTCTATAAATGCATCATGTTCCATCAAGAAAGTGCTACTTCTTATGTCTACGCTTAGGGACATTAAACATCACTGCCACTCCCATACTCTTACATTTAGTTTCTTTATTATAATGGCAGTGTGCTCTAGTGGTGTAGCTGGGAGAGAGTTACGCTGCTAACCCAAAGGCAATATCACTCTAGCTGTTCAAATCCACCAGCAGCTCCATGGGAGGAAGATGAGAATTCTCCTCCCATGTGATTTACAGCCTTGGAAACCAACTGTGAGCTGTGAGGCAGATTTAGTTACAACTCCATAGACTGCTAAGAGAACAAACAGATATGTCCTTGAGAGGGTGAAACCACACTGCTCCTTGGAGGCAAGGATTCTGAAGCTCCGTCTGAAACACTTTAGACATGTTGCAAGGAGGGACCAGTCCTTGGAGAGGGACATCGTGCTTGGGAGGGACAGCACAAGAGAGGAAGATCCTGGATTTGATAGATAGAAGTAGGTGGGTCAGAGACAATAAGATTGGTTCAGTATAGAGCAGGGTTCAGAGCTGTTGTACATAAGGTCGCTAGGAGTCGAGGCAACTTGATGGCACCTAGCAACAACAACAACAGTGGTAATGAGGTGGGGGCATTAAAGAATGGAGATATGAGGAGGAAGATCCTTTAACAAAAATCTTGTGGGGATGCCATTTTCATCTATTTATCTGATGTTCATATTTTAAATAATAACGAGAACATAGTTGAAGGTCACAAGGAGTTAATGACAATAATAGCTGACATTTACTGAGCAACTCTTGTGTATCAGACCACGCTAAACACTTTTACATGCATTTCTTATCACAGTGTGTAGGTGGTAGTATTGTCAAGAGCAGGTGGAAAAAACGAGGCTTAAGAGAAATTAAGCAATGTGCCCAATTTATAGTATAGATGGCAGTGCTCAGATTCAATCATTTAAGTGAGGATTATTTCCAAACCCATTCACTGGACCACTATGATAACTGGAGCTTTGAGAATTTCTTCCGAAAATGATTTGTTTGGAGATGCTAAATTATACTACATAGATTAGTCAGTATTTTATTAACCCATCAATTCACAAATGAATCAAGACTAGACTGAAATCTTGCTGTATGAAGACTAAGCTTTTGAAATTTTCTTGGTTCTGGAACAAATTTAAAAGTCAAATATAAATTTATAAGCTATGCAATTTGCAAACTGATCTGTTATATAAAGGCACATTTTAAAATCAATTCACAAAATTTTATAACAGCACCAAAGAGTGGAGATGTCAGGTGATCTTTAGAAAATAAATGCTATGAATTTCTGTTGGTACAGGTACTAAAATAAGGGAGCTATTTGTATTTTTTTAAATCTCTTACAACAACAACAACAACAACAACTATTTACGCTTGATTTGTATAGCTTTTTGTTAAAGGCCTTTCTTTCTGTAAGATAGGGCAGGAACTAGAATCCTGAAAATCCATTTCCGATATAAGTAAAAGTTCTCTTAATTTGAGTAGTGTATATTCCATGCTTCTGACAGAAAGATAAAGTCATTCCATTTAGGCCAGAGATGGAACTGAATTACTAACACCTTATACACTCATGTTATGTATGCATCAATAATCACTGAAACTATGGTTTATTTTAGCTCACAGTCTTTTTACCACCTTTGACTTCTCAGTGCATGAATGTTAATAAGTACATGATTTATTACTAGAGAAGTAATGAAATTACATCCAGTTCAGGAATGCACTGTATGAAACTAAACCGAAATAGCCCCAAATAATACCTACCTGAATACCTATCACATTGTCAAAGAAAAGAAATACCCAACAAGAAACCTAACTACTGAAATGGGAGACTAGGAGGCATAGCCAGCCAATATACAACTTCGTAGAATTATGTTAGCTGCAAATGACTTGCCCTTACCCTGCAAGGGTAGTTTTATCACTCCAGAAGATCTAAGGGCTGCTGTAGGCGTTCTCTAACAACACCTGCAGGGCACCTTCCCTGTTCCCCCTCGAAGAAAAGCAAGGAGGCAGAGAGCTTTCTTTCCCTGAGGGAAGCATGGACCCTCCTCCCAGCACCAGAGGTGAACCCTGGAGCTTCCTCCTGGAAGAAGGATTCTCTCAGTCTAGCTTGATGGCCCCTACAGCAGATGACAGACCACAGGATAAAGTACTAAAAAGGAAGGTGCCAGGATATGGAACCCAGACTCCACCTCTCTGCAATATTATAATGCTAATCAAAAAAAATCCATTACTGTCGACTGGACTCATAGCGACCCTACAGGACAAAGTAGAACCACCCTTGCAAATTTTTACAGAAACAGATTGCTGTATCTCCCACAGGCTAGCGAATGGGTTCGAACCTCCAACCTTCTGGTTAGCAACCAAGGGCTTTTCACCACTGGACCCTAGAGCTATCATTCTAATGACTTGGGAAACACAAAATCGCATTTCCCAAAGAGTCAAGAAGGTCAAAGAAGAGCAACGAGCATGCTTCTCAAAGGCGCTGTAACGCAAAGCGGGTGGAAGGGTCACCTGATGTGGAGACGAGGGTCGCCTCCTCCAGGAACGACCTTCCTCCCTGGGAGCTCGGATTGCGATGTTGGTGCAGCTCCCGCCCAGCAGCGACCCCCACATAGTGCCTCGGACCCTCCTCTCCCTGCCTCTACTTACCGACTGCGGTCGGGGTCCTTGGCCGACCTGCTCCCGGGTCTGGGCGGCGCAGAGCCGCAGTCGCGAGCGGCAGAGCAGCAGCCAGCTGCAGAAGGACCGCAGCCGGGCGGCGCCCCCTCCCCAGGCGCGGGGCGCGGGACCGACAGGCTGCAGCGTCAATGCGCGCGGAGCGGCGGGCGAGGGGCGGGCGCGCAGGGGCGGGGCCGGAGCACGGAGGGGGTGGGGATGGGGACGGGGGGCGCGGCACTGCGGAGGGGGGCGGGGAGGCGGGCCACCTGTGCGCAGGGTACCTGCCACGTGGGAGTCGCCCTGAGCGCCCGCAGCAGGTCGGTGAATCCCCTGCGGAGCTCCAGGGCCAGCTCTGGAGGACCAGGGGAGTGAACCCTGCGTTTTCTGAAACTCAAAGTAGCAAAATCCAACTTCAAATTATAGACAGTCCCCTTTTCCTCTACTCTCCAACCATTCCCCCTCTTCCAACCGTCAGGATATGTGCAGACCTCACTACTTTTGAGAGGATTATCACATGGAATAGTGCCCATCTTTCTCCACAGAGCCGCTGGTGGATTCGAACTGCATGCCTTTGGGTTGGCGGCTCAACTCTATATACTAGGCCACTAGCAGATACTAAAATTTGCATCAAACTGTGCAGAGTGAAATCTTGTTTGGGGAGAAAATGACATACGTGAATTTGAACAGAAATAAAGCTTTCCCAAGGGTAGGTAGGCTTGGGTGTCATGAACATGAACTCTGATTCAGTCATTGTCAGGATCTCAGAAACCCATGACCTCTGAAGATAACCTGTCTAAGGATAACCTGTATACATCCACGCTAATGAGGACCGAAGGAGCCCAGCTTGATCCATCTTTTATACCTTATATATTTCCAGAATAAAATAAAAGTAG